TCAGAATCGAACTGAGACTTCAGGACCGAATTTTCAACTTCCGGTCCGACGGTCTGAAATTTGAAGTATCACAGCTTATGAATGACTGTTTGAACTTCAGACCTAGGGGTGGCAAATTGGCGGATTAGGCTGAATTTGAGTGAGTCAAGATGGGCTGAACTAATAAATGGGTCATTGTCAACCCTGCCCAAAGATTGGGTAGAAATTCAAAAATAGCCAGATTTATAATTGGTCGTTCATAGCTCAGTTTTAAAAGTAATCGAAATTTACCCATTTTTTATGTAAAGATAAATCCGAGCGAGAACACTGTTCAAAACACGGAAAATACGCCAGTATATTATGCTGGAGTTCCAGCATAAGTATACATGAACTCCAGCATATTATACTGGAGTTACAGGATAAGTATGCTGGAACTCCAGCATAATATGATGGAGTTCCAGCATAAGTACACTAGAACTCCAGCATAATGTACTGGAGTTCCAGCAAAGTATACCGGTCCAATATAATATGCTGGAAGTTCATACACAAGTGCTCGAATCTCCAGTATATTATGCTGGAACTTTCCGTGTGTTGGAGTTCCAGCATAATATGCTGGAAGTTCATACACAGGTGCACCGAACTCCAGTATATTATGCTGGACCGGTCTCTGTTGCAGCAAAATAGTGGTTATTTTTCATTGACTTGGTAAACGTTGGCTATTTTTGAATGACCAGTCCGAAAACTGGCTAGACCGTGCTATTTTTACCAAAGTTTGCTTGGGCTAAGATTGGCTGGGTAAAGATGGGCTAAACAATAGGTCATAGCCCAACCCGCCCAATTTTTGCATATTTAACTAGTCCAAAATGCATCTTTTTTGAGTCACACGTCTTACTAGATATTTTTCTAATCATTCATATATATTTAATTAAAGAAAAAATAACTCTGGTTAGGTTCTATAGTAACACAATTTAGAAATGATAAATTATAATTTTAAATGTTGAAATAGAAACTACCGAAAATATGGACTACTATATTTCATTTATTATATGAATGAGGTATGCATTAGTTAATTTACTTAGAAACAAAGTTAAGTAATTTGTGATCATAAAAAGAAAATTTTAAATCTACCAGAAATAACTTTTAAGTACTAATAACTATTCATGATAGTAAAAAGAACAACTTGTGTATGTACAAAGACAAATTCCTAACTAACAAACAAAATACAAACAGAAGCTTTAATCCTGTTCTTTTGCATTTCTCAATTGCATTGCTGGTTGATTTTCTTTGCAAAAATAATGCATTTTGCAGGCTGGCCGGGGCATTTGCGTCTATACCCGTTTTTTGGGTCACGTTTTAACTTGTACCCAATAATTGCAAGTGTACCCATTTTTTCGCGTAACTTCAGCATACGGGCCTGAAGTAGCAAAGGCAATCACGCAAACTTCAACATTCTAGTAGACGGGCCTGAAGTAGCAAAAATTGTTGAACCAAGTGTGCTGAAATTTTTGTTTGTAATTACTGAACTTAAGCATTCTAGTGCTGAAGTTTTGTTCTCTATTTGCTGAAGTTTTTTTTTTTGTAATTGCCGAACTTAAGCATTCTAGTAGCTGAAGTTTTGTGATGCTGAAGTTATTTAGTTCATTTGTAAAAACTTCAGCACTAAATAAGCTGAAGTTTTTTTGTCCTGGATTCATTAGTTTTGTCATTAAGCTTTTTCAAANAGTATATTATGCTGGAGTTCCAGTATAAGTATACTTGAACTCCAGCATATTATGCTGGAGTTCCATCATAAGTACACTAGAACTCCAGCATAATATACTGGAGTTCCAGCAAGTATATTGGTCCAGTATAATATACTGGAGTTTGGAGCACCGATGCTCCAGTCTCCAGTATATTATACTGGAGCCAGCAAAGTATACCGGTCCAGCATAATATGCTGGAGTTCATACACAAGTGTACCGAACTCCAGTATATTATGCTGGACCGGTCTCTATTGCAGCAAAATAGTGGCTATTTTTCATTGACTTGGTAAACGCTGGCTATTTTTGATTGACCAGCCCGAAAACTGGCTATACCGTGCTATTTTTACCTATTCATACCTAGGCTTGGCCTTCACAACTTCAGTTCTTCAGGCTGAATTTTGAAACATCATTAAACTGAAACACCAGAACGGACTACTACAAAGCACAGCATCTCCAGCGTTATTAACCGCATCAATTCTAAATATGTGAAGAAAGCTACTTGGATACTGTTTTGCTTATGTAAAAGACCTTTTCATTATATGAATTTCATGTGCTAATTTGTCCAATCTAACCTCAACTATATTCAAGGTGCCCTGTATTTATGGAAGCTCTCAGTTTTTATCTAGTTATCTTTCACCTGATATCTTTCAAAGTGTTTGCTACAAGTCGTATTCTACCTAATTACAATTAGAAACCAACACAGCTTCAGACCAACTCCTCACAAGAAATGAACATCTGAAGTTGCTACTAAGAATTCGCATAAATACAATATGACCATCAGTAATTGTCTATAAGCTTGGTTTGGGAAGTCTTCAGTAAAGGGGAACAGTACCCTGTACTGTTATGTGTTTTGCTAGAAACGCCGAGACATCTGTAGCACTTCGCAGAACAGCTAGTGGATGGGATGTAGGTCTCCGGAGGAACTGCAACTATTGGGAATTGGAGATGATGTCTCTGTAACAGTTGAAAAACTCTCCTTACCCTACAGAGGCACCGGACTCTTTAGCATGACCGTTACATGGAATCGTGCTACAGTGATCTGTCATCTAAATCAGCTTCTTCTCTTGTCTTGTCTGGGAAGGAAATATGGAGAAGCATGCTCCATAAAACACTATAGTGATGTCATACATATGGTCTGCATGCATCCTATATGACCTGTCATCTAAATGCTATTTGGTCTGCCTGCATCTGCTGGGGGTAACTTATGAAACCGTACTGACTCAACAGAATCTACAGAGAAGGGGTTTGATCTTATTATGAGGTAGGTGTTACTAGTGCGAAAATGAGATAGAGGAGGCTAATCATTTCTTTTTGGAGGCACTAGTGATTTCTTGCTGGGTATCTTTGAAGTGAAGTGTGTTATGCCAAGAACAGTCAAATATTTGCTTCTCTGCTGGACTGGACGGATAAAAAAAGGCTGGCAAGGGTAGAAGAAGATCTATTATACCATTCCAGCTTGTACTTGGTGGATTATATAGAAAAAAACGAAATCTCAGATGCTTTGAGGACAAAACAGACAACACATGTAGATTATAATACTAATGTCTTTCTTGTTTGGTGTTTCGATGTAAAATGGAAAATGCAACTGAAGTGGATAGCATCTTAGGAGTCAGCCAGCTCCCTTATATACAAGTTGTGCACAGGAGCTGAGTTTTTATATCCTTTTTTACTGTACAAACTCAGTGTTACCAAAGTGCTTTTCTACGTTAATAGAATTTTATTTACCTACCAAATAGAAGAAGAAAAAAATCAGTCGGAACATCTCACTGCTGAGCCTTACATTCATGAGGCAGACAACATTCAAATTTTCAAGAACAATATACTACCCTGGTCACTTCATAATCCTAGATGTTCTTAATAGTTCACAATTGGTCAGCACTTGCAATATTCAGAGGAGAAAGAGAACAGGAAGTGGTGAAACTGCAATATCAGCATAGTATCAGTATTCTAAGAAAACTTAATGTCATAATTTCGAGACACTCGGTAAAGTGATTACTTAACGTAACATCATTTAGATAATAGAAATAGAAAGCATTTCCAAACAAGAAAGCTAGTCATGGTTCCTAAGTCTTCCATGTATATATTTTTTGATAAAGTAATATAAATTTCATTAAAAGAAAGGGCAAAATATGCCTGTATACAAGAAGTATAACAAAAATTAAGTCTTCCATGTGTATAAGAATGTCAAGTATACAAGTATAACAAAAATGAAGTCTTCCATGTATATAAGAATGTCAATATGAAGTTATTCACATACTAAGTACAAGCCTATCAAATTAGATTCCAATAGGCACATAACGCACTCTTACTTGTCCTTTCTCTTTCCCCCATTCCAACAAGGTATAGCACAGCTTCATTAAGGAGCACATAGCAAATCCATTTAAAAGTAGAACTTACTACAACAGACAAAGTATGTTATCTAGGGTTGAATCCATCATTTATATAAGTTCAGATTAGCTCTCATATTTCGGAGGTGTTTATATGGAAAAAACACTAGTTATTTAGAACATTGCATTTTATGCTAATAATGTACTGTATCCTATCTTGTCTTGGCTACTCTTAAAAACATTACCTGATTTCATATAAAATAGAACAGAAAATCCTAAAGTAAAATACCAATAACATCACCAACAAACATCTTAACATATGCTGCCCTCTAGAAACTGCATGCTATCCCGAGTCTCAATGTCACTAGACTAAAAAAGTACTATCAACCAAGCCCCAACAACAATAAAATGCAGTTTCCTCATAAATTGCAGCAAGAATCAATCTGAGGTTCACCATGAAATAAATTCATGCTAAACAAAGGCAAAGACAACATAGTGTCTCCTCTCCCCCTGGCTAAGCACCCTGTCCATCTACCCCTTACAGAACTGGAATAGATAGAACGCTAAAGCTAGCGCTCTCTATCTCTCTCTATGATACACACATACGCACCCCTCCTTTCCAGCCAATTTATCCTGAACTAAAGACAAACTTAAAACTATTATGAAAATGGATCATGCAAATGATCATAAAGACAAAACTTATCTATTTGCAAACATAAATGCAGAAAGCTAGAGCTACCATAAACATACACTTCCTTGAAAGTTCAGTTTTCACATAACGTTTCTCCCTCTAAGGATCAGGTTAAACATCTCACAATTTACCTCCTCCTCTGGTGGCATGTATCATAGATGTCAGAATTCCAACAGAATAGAAGAGAATGTGAAGCTAAGTCCAACAAATAGATGGCCAACGGGCAGAATTAAGGTCAACACCAATTTTGAAGCGTGAAAATCAACAAATAGGAAAATCTATTACATAAATTTTAACCTTCAATCCGCCAACTTACAGATAAACATGAATAAAAATGTAGTAGTAACAAACAAGTAAAGGAATTGAATACAGATCTAAAAATTGGAAATTACAGATCCAATCTAGATCTATAAACTAGATACAAAATTTCTAAAGTATTCCCTGCAAAATCCGACGCACCGCTAGTTTTTCTACCAAAGAAATATTACAGTTCAATTAAATTGAATAATTGATTCACATCAAATTTAGAAGCTCCACAAACCAACCTCATATTCGTGTCACCAAACGTGATCCGACTAGACACGAGCAGCAACAGCCGGAGCAGCGGCAGCCGCGGCAGAGGAGGCAGCACCACCGAGAAACGAAAGGAATCCAACGTTGCCCGGCTCTTGATCATCAAGAAACAAATCCTCCGGAACCCTAAAAGCTCCATGAGCACAAACAATAGCCAGTCCAACAAGGAGTGCAGATATGAGCAGCGATCCAACACTGGTGAGGAACACCACAACAATAGTGGAGACTACTAAGATCCCCAGCGTTTCGCGGTCAGAGAAAGTGCGGCCAAGGATAACAACAGGCTGATCTGAGGGCCTGAAAAGGTAGAGGAAAAACCAGCCACCGAGGAGAGCGAGGAGGACGAGGAGAGAGAAAGGATGAGAGAGAAGGGAAAGAGCGAGTACGCCAGCGAGTAGAGAAATATAATTGACGCGGAAGTAGGAGAAGTTTTTGCGGACGCGTGAGGCGGCCTCAGCGACGGAGTCAGGGCGAGCAAAGGATGTGCGATCGAGAAGTTCATACCAAGGGCGGCGTTGAGCGAAACCCTGACGGATCGAAGATGAGAGGCGAGAGATGAAGGAGCGAAATGCGGGAGTGGCAATAGGGGGCTGAGATTGGGCACCAGAAGCCCCCGTGGATTGAGGACTTGAAATCGGAAGTGTCGCCGGAGAAGCCATTGGTTATTCTTCTCCCTTCTCTCGTTTGTTTGATTTGATTGGGGAGGGTGCAGAGAGAGAGGGAGAGTGCAATTTGGACAAGAATAATAATGGGTAACGTTCCAAGTGCTTCGGCTTTCTTTTTTTATATATTCACCTATTTATTCTCGTGAAGAGCCAATTATATTATACTCCATTTCTCTCGTTTTGTATAACTGAATTTATCATTTTATCTGGATACAATTTTTAGAAACATTAAATTAATGATTAAATTTTTATCAAGAAAAACTTAAAATAAATATAAATTTAAGTTCATAAATTCAGTTAGGCAAGGCAATTAGGGAAGTGAAAGGAAAAGTAAAAAGATAGAAGATATTCCAATTCCTTCTTTCTTTTACAAAACCACGCAGGGAAGAGATAGATAATAATTCCCCATTTGCCTTTTTTGTTTTTTTTGAGCCATAGTTGCCAAGCATATATAGGGAACTCTATAGAACTGACCTTATTGTTATTCTTCAGAAAAGAAAATGTTAAACGAAAATTACTTTTTGCTGTAAAGAAAGCCTCTACTTCTAAAATTTGATAATCTATAAACTTGTTTATTGTCTGGTGTAAGTTGACTGATAATTCATTTTCCTATGATTCTATGAAAGCTTTTCAATAGCGAGACTGAGGCCTCAATCAGGGAGGAGGTAGCATATAAGCTACAGCGGGACCGACTAAAAATTATGTATAAACAATAGCTCAGTAATTTAGTGGTATTTCAAATCCATAAACTTAAAATCTTCGCGTCGCCTTTGAGCTCAATCCCACGTGCATCTTTATAGCAATGTTTTTAAGACACATCAGCATAAGACGGATTATTAAAGTCCATCTTTACACAACTTTTTTTCGGATAGGAGAGACTGGATAATGATAAAATGATAACTACGATATGCAATCTCAAACACTAATGTAAAATTAATCTCACCCTTCCAACAATGGTTGACTAAAAAAGCTAGATCACTCAAAATATGCATTTGTACTAAACCAAGCAATATAATCTTTAAATATCACAAACTGAAATGAGAATAATGTCATTTTTCGTTGATTAAGTGGATTTTTTTTGCATAAATATATGTCTAACCCGCAATAGTGCTGTTGTGCTTGGAAAGGAAAAAAAACCTTGTGCTGTTGTGCATTGATCACGCCCAACTATGCCGTATAAAAGAACAATGCGGTCGCTGCAAATATAATCCGGTTTACAAGTCCGGAGTCGAATCCCATAGAGAGTTAACCTATCAACTGCTACCTTCAGACCCACCAAATCTTCAGAACCAGCTTCCCAAATATTCAAATTCTCAGTTGATTGTTCTTTAATAACTAACTTGCAAGTAAATAAAAGGCTATAACTAAATTAGAAGGGTTGTAAACAATTATGAAAAAAAGCTAAGGCAATGATTTCCCCTATTGATGAAATCCCTTCTGTTTATGCTCATACAAATTTACCCACACATCTCTATCAATCATGAACGCTAATCTTACCGCAAATCTCTCCCGAGTAATCACAGTAATCTACTATTGCACTCTCCCGAGATACACTAGCTTGCTTAAATTCGCACAATTCAATTTAAATTGCACCCAAGGCTTCGTTATTCCTAATCCCGCCTTTAAACCCGCAATTATAGATTCCTCTAATAATCTAGGAGTGGTGTTGTTCAACAACACCCTAAATATGCACTCTTTTCCAAGTTATGCACACTAAATAGGCACAGCTAATTGAGGATCCTGTCAATTAACTACAACGAACACGAAGTTGAACAAATAAAGATTTAACTAGCAATTTGTATTCACATAAACAAGAAGTTCATCACTCAATAGGGTCCATCAAAGCCTTAGACAAGGAATTTAGCTACTCATGACTATGGAAGAATAAACTAAGATTGAATTCATCATAAAATCAAAAGAAAAGAAGAAAGATGGTTGGAGTACTCTCTCACAATGGTTTTCCTTGCTAAGAAACCTTAAAAATCAATACATGCCTCTCTTGGGCGAAGTCTAACGTTTTAAATAGGGTTTAGGTCTAAAAATCCCGTGTTTTACACTTAAGTCCCCGAAGTTTACTGCGCCCACCGCGGTTCTACCGCGGTCGCGGTCAAACCGCGGCCAAAAGCCTTCTCTGATTCTGAAATCATCCGCAGCTGTCTTCCACCGCGGTTCTACCGCGATCGCGGTGGAACCGCGGTGAAACCAGTGCTCTGGATCTTCGGCCTGTTTTGCATGGTTTACTTGGGAAATTTCACAGTTGGCCTCTTTTTCACTGTTCAGCCAGCTGCAATAACATAGAAAGTAAGGTCGAGCTCGCCAATGCCTAACCTCTTATAAATGACCAGGGGCATGAGATAATGCTGGCCCCTAAATCACAAAGTGCCTTAGCAAATGCATAGTTATAATGGGTGCATGGAATTGTAAAACTACCTGGATCAGATAAAGTTTTTTCAGCAACAGGTCTAGATACCACTGCACACATGTCTGAGTAAGGGTCACAGTCGATTAAGTCTTGAAAGTCCAAACTTCCGAGACATCAAGTCCTTCATCATTTTAGCATATCCTGGCATCTCGCTTTGAGCTTCAATCAGTGGATGTTTATCTGGATTTGTTTGAGCATCTCTAGGGAACTTTTTTTGTACTGCTCCTTCTTTTCGATGCTTGGCCCACTTTGCGGGGAATGGCTGCAGGAGGTCTTTTCTTCCCAATCACTGAGGTTTTCCTTTTCAGCGACTGTCTCAACTATCGGTTTCCGTTGCTGTCTCAACTACTGGCTACAATTTATGTCTCAGTCTCTTGCTTTGCATATTCTTTTCATCAGGAGTAGGGTGAACCGTTACCTCTGTCAATCTCTAAGAGTCATCCATTTTTTTGTTCAAATGGGTAACTGGAATTAGTGTCTCATGCCTGTATATTTTTCTCGAGCTCTCTCTGTCAACATCTAATCCCTGCATTTTCGTAGACTCACCGCCATCAGCTGCTTTGGGCCTTTGATCTTTTGGATTGGAATTGGGTTATCTTGCAGGTAGTGTCCCCTTGAGGACGATTGTTAAGTGAATTGAAATACTGGCCCACTTTGGTACCTCAATATTTCTTGATAGCTGCATCAGGTTGCATCACCCTTTCATTTATTTTAGCAATTGGACCAATAACCTGCTGCATTTCATTGCTTTCAAGCCTTGCAAACCCGTCTTCCTGTCTTCACCCTGCTTGTTGCTGAGGTGGGTGGTACCTTGCTGCTGATTGTTGTACCCTTGAAGGTCTAAGATACGGTGCCATGTTGTTGGGGGGTCTCATGCCTCCTCATATTTCCGGGTTTAATACTGTGGCTGCGGTGGCCTGGTACTGCTGCTGAGTCTGCTGACCCATTCTGATTACCTTGTCCTCTACCCCCATAAGTTAGCCACAATAGTTCAATCTTCAGGGTGCTGGTGATGATGATCATGCTCTGCATTCCATGGATTACCAATTGGCTGCTAATGCAAGATGTGCAAAAGCTCCGTTGGTAGTGGTCTTACTATGTGAAACCTGTTGCTTCTCGCCTGATTCCTCCACCTTTTTGGTGAGAATGCTCATTTGCTCGAAAAGGAGTCGATGTTTCAGCCATTGTTATTAGGAAGGATCAAGAGGCACTGAGTGCACCACCTAGAGTGATAGGTGCATTTCTAGAAGTCCAACCCGAATTCTGCCCATCTTTGTCAGCAAAATTCTGACCTTCCTCTCCCAAGTCTTGCTCAAGGATGGCCCCACCAGCTGAGGCATCCAACTATATATCTTCAAGCTGTCTTGACAATCCCATGTAAACCGTTGTCCCAACATCTGCTCTGGAACCCATGGTGGGGACAACCATAACCAACATTCCTTTAAACCTCCCCATTCTCGTGTGTGTCTCCATTGGTTTCTGGTTTGAAGCTCACAATCTATCAATTTGTTAGCGGTCTTTTGGGAGGGATGGAACTTGTTGTGAAATTTGCTTAACCAACGTATCCCAAGTTGACTATAGAGTTTAGGGAGCGAGTTTAGCCAAACTGAGCAGACTCTTTGTCACCGAGAATGGAAAAATAAATAGTACTGATTGCTTCCGGAGTCATGTTCGGTTGCTTTTTGAGTTTTTGCAAATAGACAGGAAGTTCTTTAAA